CAATACATTCATATCTATACATGCATGCCTTCAATAAAAGGGAGATAACAAATCATCAACATGTATATAATCAACAAATGAGGCAACTCGGCCCTCCAAAACTATAACCATCACAATCCATGATACACTCAGATACACTGAGACAAAACAATAAACAATAATCACAAAAACAGCTCTAAGACTAGTAGAAAATCAATGCAAAAAAGGGGGAAAAAAGGACTAGTTTCTCACCCTTGATGCCTTCTTCAACAAAGATGCTCCAATGGCCTCCTTGAGCTTGAATCCAAGACAAAAACTTCAAAACACACTCTTTAGAACCTCAGCTCCTAGAGGAAGGTGAAACACTAGGTGTTTGTGTGCAATAATGAGACACAAAACACCTAGTGTGCAAAATGAGAAGGAAAGAGAGATAGGTGAGTGTATCTAACCCTAACCCTAGAAAACCAGAGCTCTCCTCTGTCTTTTCTCTCTCTAAAATGTCTAAAGCCTCTCTTTTTTTGCCTTAGAGAGAGCTCTCTCTATATGCCTCTTGTAAAGCTTACAAGACAAGCTTTGCAAGAGGGAGATCCCTCCATACACGTGTATGGAGGGGAGCAAAAGCAATACAGCTGTCTAAAAATATCTACAAAAGCAGATGAAAAGCAATCGGCCGGCCAAAAATGCCATCTTGGCCAAAAAGAGTGCCGGTCAGCAACAAATAATGCTGACCGGCAACAAATAGTGCCGGCCGGCAAACTACATTGCCGGTGGCAGCAAACACCAGCCGGTGGCCTCTAGCCACTGCCGGTGGTGCGTGGGGATGGTCTACAAGCCCCACCCTGCCTCTCAAGGGCAAAATGCAAGTGTTTGGTGCAAAACCAGACACTAAACGGTCGAATTCGGGGATCCTGAGGCATGGCGCGCGAGCCGAGACCTCCGGGAACTCCAAACGAACACAAACATGGATGATCACCGAGTGTTCAAACGGTGCATTCCAAGTCTTGAGAACGGTCAAAAATGGGGTGTCTACAGATCCTTCTGGCTAACAACCAGTAAAGCGGGCAGCTGTGCTATATAGAGGTAATGTGTTCCTTCCGGTTAGCACCCGGTAAAGCAAGCTGTGCTATATAGAGGTAATGCATCCATCCGGCTAGCAACCTGTAAAGCAGGCAGACGTGGGACTTGGCGAGACCACAAGTTGTTTATTTTATTACGAGATTTTTTTTGCTAGTGTATATTTGTAGAGATCATTGTTGACGAAAATATGTATTGAAAATATAGTTGAAGTTGTGTTATGAGGTGGATTGATTCCATTGAGAATATAATTGTTATGTTTATTAGTGTTGCTTGATGTAAATGAGTAGCACAAGAGTATAAAGGATTAATTGTGAATTCATTTTGAAAATAAACAACGTGATGAAATCATTTGAATTATAAAAGATGAGTCGTAGAGTTACCGAAATGGTTATTGTGTGTGATATTCAAGATGTGACTTCAGTTTGGAAATCTTTTGAATTGGAAATAATGAGTTACGAAGGTCTAAAAAATGAATTTTTCTTGAAATGATAAAGAATGATTCTTTTGAAAAAAGTAGACGTATGTATGTATATTTTGGATATGCAAAACAACACTATCTGTGTATATTTATTGAGCTGGAGCATTCATGATCATATAGATCTATATTATACTATTGTTTAGAATCACTGGGATCTCTACTAGACATTAGTGTTCATCCCACGTTGTTAACCATTTTTCAGGTGAGGAGTATGGAATACTGTTCAAGACCATGGCGTCTCCTTATTTGTTGACCATGGGGTCTATTACTTGTAGGCGGAATGCCATCTTATTGTAATAAGGGTTGATCCCTTTTTATTTATTTGTTTTGTTTTATTTTCTTCTATGTAAGCCTAAGGGCACATGCTATAAACTATTGTAATTGAACAGTTCATCACCATGTATACGAGAGAGAACATTTATTGCTTAGCTATTTATTCTTGCTTCTGCTTTTATTATTATGGAAACCGACTACAATCAGAGATTGGATAATGATATTTGAGTGATAAAAATCTGGGGTGTTACATATAATCATCAAAATAATTGTAACTTCATTTTTTTTTTAATTTCCAAGAAGTATAGAATAAAGATAAAAAAAATAAATAGACACAAAACTCATACACATTTTTCTTTCTAGATACGTAATGAGTGCTTGAGGTTCAACTTGTGTAGTAGAATATATCCTTACAGTAAATGTGAATCACAAATTAATTTTTTCAGTTAGTTTATGTGTACCAGTGAACAAATGACTTCTTGTTTGGGGAATAGAACCATTACAATCTAGCTTACTGGGATAACCTCAATAGAGCGCTTGGCATGGAAGGATTGAAGACAGCACTAGTGGATTGAGCTTTTTGGTGTATAGGATTACTCAAAAAAATAAAAAAAAAAAAAAAAAGGCAACAATTAAATTTTTAGAGAAAGAATATGTTTTACTTGTGATTTCCTATAATTTATTTAATGGAATCACTTATGAAATTTTATGGACCTAAAGATATTGTTTAATAGATTAATTATATTAAAATTTGTTTAAATGTTAGCAGATATCATCTTACCACTTATCTAAAAATCCGTACAGTTTGATCTCCTTAACTATAAAAATTCAAAGAAATAATCTTTAATGAAGACTAATCTTATAATTTTATTGGTCTAATTGACCAATATTGAGTAATATTTAATAATGATTTAATTAAATAACATTTGAGCCGATCCATCGAAAGCCCGACATATCTATCCTATGTTATTTGTCGATTTGCCCTCTCCACCAGAAGAATCTTGACTCTGCCCCTGTTTGCGATGACAAAAACTGGTCCCTAAATATTTTTTATAACAAAATTTTCACTTTTGAAAATAAAATGTGATTTCTAAAATCTTTATATGTTGTAGTGTGAAAATTAAAAATTAAAATTTAGTGAAAAGAAAAAATAGAGTTCATGAAGGTGAATTTTTTGTCTAACATATTTGATAAAGAACAAAGTTTAACATCACTATCAAATATAGAAAATAAGATGATAAGGTTGATCTTGAGTTATAAGAAAGAAAAAAGCCAAAAAAAAAAAAAAACAAAAATGAAGGTATTTTTGGGGGCATGATTACTATTTGTTTTTTTGGACGTGTCATTTCATAAGAAACTTTTAGGTCTTTCATTTTAATTTTTTTTTTTCTTTTCTTATATATATATATATATATTATAAACATAACCAAATAGGTTGGTTGGTTGTGTTTTTGTTTAATCATTTTCATTTCATTTTATTTTTGTTTTAGAAAAATAAAATAAAATAAAATAAAAATTGTGAAGACATCCATTGTTTTCATAACATAGCATATATATATTTTTTTATACTAGTAAACAAGAAAGTCTATCCAGCTGACTTACTACTTTTTTTATTAACCATCTGATAGACTTGTTGCTTTTATTAGTAACAATCTAGCAACTTTACAGCTTTTATTAGTAATCATTTGATAGACTTGTTGCTTTTATTAGTAAGTAATAGTCTAACAGACATGTACAATGCAGCTATGTATGTAGTTGGCAATGGCGTGAAAGGAATTAAAGTTAGTTATATTTGGAAATGAAAAAGATCTATCGAAAATGCCGCCACACCTTTCGTGTTAGAGTTCCACAAATAAATCACCCAAAACCTTAACCCTAGTTGACTGACCCTTTCTCTATCTCTTTGATTTCACATACCAATCCCTTCATTCCCCACAAATTGCGCAAAGGAACATCCAATCTCTTCTAATTTTGCAACTGTCAACGATCTTCATTTTGGTAATTTCCAATTATCACCATCATTTCTTCATTCAATTTTATTTCACATATTAATCTTTTTAACAGACTCAAATATTTTAGTTTTAACACATGTCGATTTAATTTTTTAGTTTTAATTCTTCTCCCTCTTTTTTGGGAGGTAGGTGTTAATTGTCAATGTCGTTTCCTGCAGTTTTGGTTTGAGGCGACTTCACAACAAAATTGAAAGGGTGTATGATGAATTGGTATTTTTTTTCCCTCCAATGCTTGCATTGATAAGTAATATATATATATATATATATATATGTGTGTGTGTGTGTGTGTGTGTGTATATATATTTTTACTTTTTACTTTTTTTTTTTTTTTTGTCAATCCCCAAACTTGAAAAAAGAATAATCAAAATGATATAAAGAAATGAAAAACCTTTTTTTGCTCATTATTATTGTTATTTCTTGCTAATTAAGGTTTAAATAAACTTGAAATTGGTGAAATTAATCTAATAAATACGTTTCTTCAAATTTGTAATATATGGGTTGTTCAGAATGGCATGAATGGAAAATGTGAAAATTGAGTGCTACTGATAAATGTGAAGATTGTAGTGTTGTAATAAGGATTTCTATTATTCTCTTTATGATATAAAAATTAATAAAACAAATCATCTTTTGATGAGTTTAAGAGAATCAAGAAATGTTAAACCATATCTATATTGACTTATTATTTTGAATATGTTATGTTAGTAAACTTCAATATAGTTTGTATTGTTGAATGTTGATATTAGGGGAGTTGTCAATGTTGTTTTAATTTGTAAATTGTAAATTTTTCTCTTCATATTTTGAAAAACATCATTTTTTATTCCATATTGATGAGACATTACTTACACATATGATTCTTAATTGCTATCGTATTAAGCCACATAGGGTGCATTTGAATTTTTCAAGGTTGGTTTCATAATATTGTTTTTAGACCTCTTGCTTTCCAAATTTTGATGCTTCTACATGCATGTGTTCTATCAATAGAAAATATTGTTATTTTTTTTTTCTACATTTGATATTCCAACTATTGATGTAATAATTCATGATAACACTTAAAATTCATGTAAAATGTTACTTCTCCATACACGCAATCAATAGAAAATTCTTGTTTTGATTTATTCCTTGCAGTTCTTATATAGTATGGCTTGCAAATAAGACATTTTATGTGTTTTTCATCAACTATTTGAGTTATGGACTCCAAACATGGAAGTAAAATCCATGACAAGCATTCAAGAAGAAATGCAAAGGCAAATGGAAATAAAGGTGATGTTCTTGTTGCGCAAGATTTAACTGCAAATGTTGAATACGAAAAGGGTAATATCAGGCATGCAAGAAGAGATCTAGAGTCCACTGTAAGTCCAAGCATATTTACCCCCACCAAAAAGTTGAAGTCTTCCTCTCCTGGCTCTCCTTCTTCACCGGATTATTCATCGGAAGGTTTCATCCAAGATGATTCAAAAATGATTTTTAAGTCTATGACATCCACTGCTGCAGCCCCCAATGTTGTTCACCCTTTGCCTAAATATTACAAAATTGATGTTTCCGATGACATCTTTTCTAAATCAGAACATGATAGTGGATCATTTTCATGTTGTACCTCACAAGTTTCTGATGTCACCCATGAATCTCTATTGCATAGCACATCAATGACAGAATCACCTCATATCCAAGTTATGGAAGGACATGCTGATTTTGTCTCTAATAGGATATCACCTTCTATTTTTGCTAGTAAATCTCCTACACCAACAGAATGGAGTATTACTTCTAATGAGTCCTTATTCAGCATTCACATTGGCAACACTAGTTTCACTAGGGATCAAATTCTTAAGTTCAGTGGAGAACTCTGCAAGTCTGGAGAATTACAGAAGTTTGAAGAATCATACAAGTCTAGTGAGTTGTTTAGTTTGAGTTCACCACCTCCAGCTATACGGGAAAGGGAGAGTGAGAGAAAGAATATGAACATTGGACAAAACTTTAGAGAAATAGGAGTAGTTGATCAAAAAATTAAGGATACTCCAATGGAAGTGACCAATGATCAATGCAAAGAAAAGCTACCTACTCAAGATCTTCCGGTCAATCGACATAATGGAACCTACATCCAATCACTTACCTTTCCAAAGTCAGTTTCATTCTCCTCCTTTTTATAAAAATAGTTTGTTTTGGTTATGATAAAATAATAGTAATTGAAATTCTTAATAGTAATAATTTTTATCACATAAATGTTTACAATCTTGCATACATCAAGGAATGGAGATGACTACATTGTGCATCTTCACATGTACATGAGATTGAAAACATTTACTCCTCACAAATGACTTATAAATGCACATATTCGTTCACTTGGTACATGCCTCTATGTTTCAAATTAGTTTGTGTTAGTAACTGGAACATAAATGTGTCTATATCTTTTGTTTTGTTCTTTGTTTTTTTTTTTTGGGGGAGGGGGGGGGGGGGGTAAATCACCCAAAAAAAAAAAAGAAAAAGAAAAGAAAGAAAGAAAGAAAAACAAAAACAAACAATGAAATATGCAAGTTTACTAGGGGCATAGCCCAAGCTAATCCTACAATCCACATAATTTACTACTCAACCCCCTAAAATAGGGGAGATATACAAAACCACATTACAATCATAATGTGTTGCTAATAATATTTTGTCCCTAGTTACTTATGTCATCAGTAAAGAAGACATGGTAACTAGGAGCAATGTGTTTACATCTTTATATGTTTGTGTGCTATTATAAATTGGATATGACATTTTTCTCTCTCTATATATGTATATTATTTGTGCACACATTTAAATTAGGGAATCCAAACTTAATATTTGACAAATAAAGAATATATCCTTTGTATATTGCAGAAAAAAGAAGCTTGGACGATCATTGTGTTGTTGTTTTACTTGTAACTATGGATTTTCCTGCTCTACACAACCAAGCTGCAATTGTTGTAAACAACCAAGTTGTATGTGTTGTAAGTGGCCAAGTTGTAGGTGTTTTAAGTTGCCAAGCTGTAGGTGTTGTAAGTTGTTAAGCTGCAACTATTGTTGTAAGTGGTGGAACTATAGTTGTTGTAAGTGGCTAAGCTGTAGTTATTGTTGTAAGTGGCCACGTTGTAGTTGTTGTAAGTGGCCTAGTTGCAGTTGTTGTTTGTGGCCAAGTTACAATTGTTTTAAATGGCCAAGTTGTAGGTGTTGCTTAGGGTCAAGTTGTACCTGTTGTAAGTGGCCGAGCTGCAATTGTTGTAAGTGGCCAAGCAATAGTTGTTGTACAAGGCCAACCTACAACTGCTCCTCTTGTTGCAAGTGGTCAAGTTGTTCTAGCTGTAGTTGGATGTTTTGTTGTGGTTGGAATTCCAGACGAAAAAGAATCTTTAGTTGTTCTTCAAAAAAGTAACTCTCTCTCTCTCTCTCTCTCTCTCTCTCTCTTTCTTGTTGAATATAAGTAGCGAATTGAAATTCATCTTGTTGTTCCCTCCTCTTACTTTTTATTTTGTTCCAATTATTATATTTTTGTTCTTATGAATTTTCTACAATTTTCGTTTCATAGATGTTATTGATATTATTGTTTTACAAAATATTAAATTTATTTGCATCGATTCATTGCAGTATGACGGAGGGCGAACCTATGCAACAACATTCAGAGACAAAAGTTTCCAAAGTGACTCCAAAACCAACGTATAAAAAATGGTTTTCTTGCTTCTTTTGTTGCTCAAACTCTTGTTAGTGAGAAACTGAGTTCTTCAAACATTCAATGCCTCATGTGTCCCCTCTATCAAAATGCCTACCTATCTAATCTCTTAGAAAAATCAAGAAAAGATGGTTTTGACACAAATTATTTGTATACTTTCAACCATTGACAACCTTGACCAAATGTTGAGACTTATAGCATGCAATTACAATTTTTTCTCTAATCTGTCAACATGACAACTTCATGAATCAACCTCAAGTTTAGATAAGGTTTTTGCTCCTTATTTCTAATCCCAATTCATAAAATTAGTGCATCTTCATTTTAAGTCTCAAGAATAAAGGGTGAAGAGAGGCCAACTCGAGGAACTTCCTTCTTAAATTTAGTCAAATGTTAAGTTAAGTCGAGGAAATATTTGTACATTATTATTGGTAGTATTTAGCTACATTAAATATGTAACTACATCTTAATCACTAGTATAGTATTGTAAACTTTTTGATTTGATACATGATATGATTAGTTAGTAGAGCTAGATTTTTAATCCATGATATTTTGTCATCATTGAATTTTTATTGGTTAAGCTTTGTGATATAATGTTTGATATTTGTTGGTATCTTAAAATTATTAAAAGGCTTTTTAATCATGTAAAAAGTACAATGTTTAGGATTATAAATAAATTGAATCAAGATAATACATAGATTGTTCAAGTTTGGGTTGAAAGCTTAATGAATTTCAAATACCTACCTAAAAATTAATGAATTTCAAAATATGTTCCAGTTTGGCATGTTTTGTAATGTCCCGAAAATAATGACAACAAATACCCTCACTATCACAACCCAAACCCACCGCTAAAGATTTAGGTCACGACTGGCTCGTAATTAGGCCTCAAAGACAAAATTTCAAAACAATATTTAATTAATATCGAGGCTTGAAGCGGAAGCAAAACAAAAATAATAATGTCCATTGAGCAATGCATAGATGATAACTGAAACATTTAAAACATGCAAACACACTTTTAATATATATGTACAAATACAAAGACATATCTTATACATATCTCACACACTACATATAGGATTTGTAACAAAATACAAAGTTTTACCAAAGCTCGATAAAAGGAAAAACTAAAGCCTCGACACAGAGGCACACTTGGGTGGCTTCATACAAAAAGGGTAGACTCCGAAGCAGACTCTAATGCTGATCTTCCACTTGCTCACCTACATATATATAAGAAAAATGGGTGAGCTAGAGCCGAGTGTGTAATGCCAGTATAAAGAGGTTAAATGAATGATGTCTATCATAATTCAAAACATATCACATGAGTTTCAAAATGGATCATAATTTAACACTTGACACATCAAAGTTCATAAATCATATCTCATATGTGGTACATACAATAGTGCAAAGCAAAGGGCCCAAGGCATATCAAAGGGACCACATGGGTCTAACAAAGGAACCATATAGGTTAAGCAAAGGGACTACTCAAGTCAACATCAAATATCTCTGTGCACATATAACAAAGGGCCATGATATTGTTTTCCACGGGCAAGGGCCTTATTAATTAAGGGCCATGGTATTGTTTGTAACAATCAATTTTGGATGATCGCTTGAGTAGTCATTTGATTACTCGATCGGAGATTTATAGCTTCTAGTATGTCACAAGTTTGCAAGCTAGACCACTCGAGAGAAGGAAACACCGCTAAAGCATAAAATTCGAGCCCCTAGTATTTCATTGTAGCTCTGCAAAATGTTTGGGACCTTGTGTTTACCGCTCGAGCGGTGCAAAGTTTGCTTGAGCGGACCACTTGTATTTCGGCACATCGCTCGAGCGATGGAAAGTTCGTTTAAGCAGTCTGGTTGGGACAACTCCCTTAAAGTCGACCCAAACATTTCTTTTTCTCACTTTTTCTAACTCTTTCCTTTCTCTAGCACCTTATTCCGAAACCCTAGTCCCAAACACCTGATTTCCCTTAATTTCTACCAAGATCTACCTTATATCCTTCAAGAGGGTTGAAGATCAAGCCAAGATCAAAAGCTTTACCGATTGTTTCTCTCATTTCTTGGAGATTGAAGTTGGGTTTTCTACATTTACCTTCAATCTTGACGTAGGGGTACTTTTAACTTCATATATTTATGATTTGATATATATGTGATATTCTCTTAGTTATAGTAATGTATGAGATGAATTTGTGATATAAAGTGGGTGTTTTTAATAAAATGGGGTCTCCACCATGTTTTGGAAAAGTTTATGCATATCATTCTTGATTATTGTTAGGAATGGTAAATATTGACTCTTTATGTGTAAAGGAGGGGAAAGGCCCCAATTTCTTTCAAAAACCCTAGTTTTCAAATTTGATTTAATAATGGGTTTGGCCAAATTAACTCTTAAATCTTGAAATTGGGTGAAGGATTATTGAAATGGTGTTGAGATATCAGATTGTTGAAGCTCTTTGGCTATATGTATTGAGATTGAAGAAATTGTGAGATTGGAGAATTCACTTGGTCGTTGGTATTATTAATGTTGTTGTGCAATGAGCAAACGGTAGGGAATTTTTTTTTTGCAAATCATGCATCATGTGCATCATAAATTCTCTTGTGATATTACATGTTTGGAAAGTGTTAGAAGGCGGGGTAAATAGCATATGTGTCCAGGTAGCTGAGTCGGGCTTTGGTAATGGGTTGTGTGTTGTATTTGGTACCCGTGCACGGAGTCAAGGCGCCTAATTGGCCTGTCTAGGCATATCGCAAGATGAAAATAGGAAAGGTTTTTGGGTGTCCATGAGCCTACCATTTATAGAGTTGGCGAATGTGGAAAAACCTGATTTTGGATGTCCACAAGCCTACTATTTTTAAAGTCAACAGAAGTGGGAAGGGAAGGGTTTTGGGTGCCCATCGTCCCGCCTTTGTTAGAGTTGGCAAATGTGGGAATATTTTTTTGTCTATAAAACTATATATATGTATGACTTCACGACTCTTACTTGGGATGTCATAGCGTATTTACTACCCCATGGTTGCGGATGAGACTTTCAATGGAAATCATACATTGAACATTTTTGGTTTTGAAAGAGAAAATATGAATTTTAATCTAACATGTGCATGGCATGATGATATGCATCTATTTATATAACTTGTTAAATGTATTTCCTACTGACCATTAGCTCACCCTAAACTAACCAACTTTCAGGAAACGATGTGGATATGTCACCTAAGTGATTGGCTTCAAAAAAGATTTTGTATGGGGGCATGGAAGCTCTCTTTTGTTGTTTCATGTTAAGCATGGGGCTATTTTTGTTTGGGAACTTAGATTCCATTTTTGTGTGTTCAAGGACACTCCTTGAAAAGATGTTTATCTTTTGGGCTCTTTGCTTAGATTCTTTCTTGTCTTTTGAACTATTATTTTATTGATTGATGTAATCAAAAACATATTGTAATGATTGGAA